ATATATATATATATATATATATATATATATATATATATATATATATGTATATATATATATATATATATATATATACATATTTTATGTTGAAAACTTAAATATTCGTATTTAGAGATCAGAACAATGAGAATGTCCAGGATTAGAATTCGAGCATTGTGTGATATTTTTACCTTAAAAGATAAAGATATGCTGAGTACTTTCTTGTCATACAGTACTATGTAGAAAAAAGCGATATAGGGGAACAAACAAGAATGTGAAACAAAGTAGAGGAAAGAGAAGACGCGTTGATCATGTGGTCGCTTCTTCTTCTTCATTTTCCTTACTAGCTAGACAAGAAAAGCATCTTACTTTCTGTTGCCTCCTCTTACTAATGTTGACTTCAGCCCTCCAATGGGAATACGTAGTCTGTATCTCTATAGGTCTAAGGAGAAGAAGAGGCAGACGTAGGAAAAGGCATAGACTGTCAAGACAGACGTAGAAAAATGTACTACCATGAACGATGCGGTGTGTGACTTCATTTAATTGCGATAAGAGTTTGAATTCGCGCGAATGTGATAACAATATATTCAATCTCCAAGATTATTTTTCAGGTTATTCTTTCGCACCTTTGCAATATATTGCGTGATCGTCTTTATGACTGCAATACGAAATCCCATGGTTCTTCCGCAAGAAAGAAGATTTCTTCCAATTTCTTCCAATCTTCCTCGTGCCTCCCACGCTCTTATTATAATTTACATTTCCACACGACTTACACATAAAATCCGTCGCTAAGGAATAGCGGAACCAGCGTCAGGCGAGACTCTGATTCCCTCGATGCCGGTCTGACATATGCGATTTCTCTCTCGGCGCGTAAGGCATAACATTGTGCACATCTGTAGACGCGTTTCTCAGGTCGATGGAGCCGAAGCTCCTCTTACAAATCTGTCAGTATCACGCATCTCTTCATCGCGAAAATATTTCAGAATTATTCCGATACGGAGCGTTCGCCAAAATCAAATCTCCCATCCTCCTGAGACGAAGATGCTACCGAGGACAGCGCGTGTTGCAACAGCACTTTTTTATCCGTTGCGTAGAGAATAAATC